AATTCAAAACTGTTCTAAATCTAGGATAAAACATATTAATCTTTAATATAGAAAGCACGAAGATCATTGATGTTGCCAGTTTGAAGTGTTTTAGTGCCTCACTGTTATTAGATTACCGTAGTATTTTTCAAAATACAGCAGCGTCCAAAAATGATGGATACAAATAAGTATCCAATTAACCATAGAGGACGGTAAATCTATAAATGTAATAGGGTGTGTGCAAGTAAAACTCGCATGAATCAACTTCACAGGATTCCTTTTACAGACTTTATCTTAAAGTCTTGAATTTTTTTAATTGCGTTCGCTTTGTTTTTTTCGTGGATTTTTCCAACAAGTAATCAAAATGAGTCTAACTTCCTACAGTGCAGAAACCCATAAAATAGTTTAGTGCATACTGAATTTGGTTTAAAGAAACAACTCAAAGTGCAAAAATTAAACTAGATGTAATTTATAAATCAAAATGAATAAAACTGTATTGAATTGTTGGAAGTGTGTTCTACTTCTATGTCTTATCAGTAGCAATAAATTAAAATAATTCATATACGTATAACAATATATTTATTTTGATTTTGCCGTCAGTGTGGACACCCCGTGTTCCGAAAAAGAATGACAACCTTACCAAAACTTCTTGTATTTGGGATCCGCGTAGAGATTCAAGTTAGATTTCTGCCAATCCCGTGAACCTGTTTACTGAAAGTGTTTTCGGGTTTATAAAGAAAAATGTATCGCAGTATAACTGTTTATCCTTTACAGGGTGCGGCACTATTCTTCACACATGCTTAGAAACGTTATTTTCTTTTCTCCGAAATCCAACAACACCCTCTTTCATTGTATACACGATTTTCTCCCTCCAAGGAGCTAATTTTAGGAACAGAACCTCTCCCGTTTATTAAAGGCTCGTCCGTACTTACATTAGATCTCCTTAAGAAGTCAAATATTAAAAAACCGAGGGAATTAGCAGACAGTTTTGCGATTATACAAAGTCTTGAAATTATTTTCTACTACCTAACTATTTAAAACATGCTAGAAACAAGTTTTTTCGTTCCCCAATTTTACCTCTTTTGCATAGTTAAAAAGGGTATGTGGTTTAAGGATTCAAGCCATTAAATCTTCAAATTCCTTTCAATTGTACTTTTCAGCTTAAATTTGGAAACATGATGCTACAATTTGTTGACAAACCAATCACTGCTGTTCATGTCAATAGTTAATTAATTAATGTAAACTCAAACCCGTCCGAAATCAGGCCGCACTTTAGTACGACAGCCGTCGTCGTAGAAAAAATGCCGGGGCTCATAATCGAATGGGACCACCGTTTCGCTCCACCGCCGCCTTAAGTCAAGAGAAGAATCGTGTGAAAAAAGTGTCAGGTGCTTATTTAAAAATTTACACATGCCCATCTACATGACTTAAATTTATGTTCAGAAGAATATCGTCGTAAACAGGTTTTCAAACCGTCCTGTGTTGATAGGTGCTGACTTCTTGTAAGTGACAAATTCACTCCATTAGTCCGTTGGAAGGCGAGTACAGTTACAGGCATGGAAACTTGGCACTTGCTGACGCACAAACTAGGTTTGAGAATTGTCATTGCAGTGCTTATAATTGCAGAGATCCAAACAAAAAGCCACATCAGTTTTGTGGGACGGCGATTTTGCCAAACTAAATTGAATCTACTTAGTTGCTTTGCACTTTCTGTTTTTCATCAGATTTGTTTGAAGATTGTTTAATTTCTAGTATTTCAAATTCAACGTGCTGTAAGTTAATTTAGTTCTAATACAACAGTCTAAACAGTCTATTCTGAGTGTGAGGACCAAGATGATTCCATTGTTTAACTTGTTTTCTGACTACTAGGCGATGAAGTGAAATATGTGCTGAATAATCTCGTTCTCCAGTTAGGAGGAAAAAATTAAGAATAGGGCTTTATGAACTGAAAACCTCTCCTCGCTTGTATCACAATTACTCTCAATCCGGGAATTTCCAGTGCAGAAGGCATTGGTTTTTCAAAAAGTAGGCCGCGTCTCAAGAAATGTCTTAAAGAAACCACTTGAAAATGCGATTTCCTTATTGTATCAAAACAGTCACTTGGTTAAAAACAATAACAAACTTTTGGTGAGTCGTTTTGCAAAAATGGTAGTCGATGGCTTAAACATGAATATGATTAAAATAAAGTTTTGTTAGTTAAACAGAAATGACCTCCAAATTAAATTATTAAAGTTATTTGGAAACCTTTGTTTCGTATGTGTGGCAATGTATAATTTATGAGAGGAATTTGTAGAGACACAAAGTTGTTTAAAGGCAATGTTTAAAACAATAGGCATACGGCACTAGCATTAAACACCGAGAGGCTTGCTTTGATAATATATGGTCCCATATTCTCGAAAATGTTATTTTGTCGAAACCACATAAACGACTCTGGTGAAAATAAATGCTTCTCGCTTGTTATTTTGAGATCATGCAAAGATAATTTTTGGTCATTCGTCGTTTGGTTTTTCTAATGTTGTGGTGAATAACTGTTGTGGCGATTCGTTATGTGGAAGTCAAGAGTTGACTTTGTACATTTCTTTCGCTATTGAAACTACGATGATTAAGAGCACACAGTTAATCAAATCCTAGCTTTCACTTATTACTATAGGCTATTCCTCTTTGGCCGGTGGCGTTTTGAACACTTGATCATCAAAAGGTATGCTTTCTCCGAAGAGGGACAAGTTGCGTTTTCCCAAAGTTTTGAGTGAAAAATAACCATTCCATATCATATTGTTTCTTAATTTCAAATAGGTATATTAGATTACTGATTTTCTGGGTAAATTATAGTCAGTACTCTATTTTTTCCTTGAGGTCGTGAAATTATTAAATGGCACTTTGTGAATGACCGCCCACTACAGCACTTTGTAATTACTTCAACAAAGCGGGTAATCTCCTCGTTTATTTTATTTAGTTTTGAGAATGCTTGCTTCCAAAATAAAATAACCTAGTTAGTAGTAGTTGTCTATGCCATTAATTAATTATGCCGGTTCCACTATTTATTATTATGGAGCTTGCAAATTGTTGCTAAACCCTGGTTGTACATGCGTGGCAAATTTTCAGACATTGCTAATTTTAGCTGTAAAGCTGAACCTCTTTATAACAAATATGGCTTTGCTGGTTAAGGAATAAATTCTACAATAAAAAAGACGATATTTTGTTTAAAAATGAAATCAAGCAAACCAATTTCCGGTGTTTGATACAAGAGTGAACTTTAAAGTTTTAAAATGATAAAATCATGACAAGAGATTCTTAATCTACTGAAGCAGAACACAAAATTTAACGTATTGTTTTCATTTTTCAACATAGTTCGTTGGTTAGATAAACTGAGTTGACTTGCAGATGTGCATTGACACTTATATTACCCAAATAGCATTATATGTGGCAATTCATAGTACAAGATTGTTATGCTATTTTACTGCAGCAAGATATTCAAGTTTTAGTGGAAGTTATGGTTTTTGGTAAAGATTTATAATAATCTCTAAGCTAGTTTAGAGTCAAAAGTCGACGCACTAAATTAAACCCTTATACTAATTTGTGTCTGCTGCTTGGCGTAAAATCCCGAAATGCTGGAATAGCAAATAGTCTTCAAGTGCAAAGCGTTGTAGGAATTGCTAGAGATCCATGAGCTCAAGCAGTCATTGAAGCCCAAAATATTGGCTTTTAGCTAGATATAATTTATCGCATTTCGCTTTCGCGTGTATTGCAGTGGAAGGGGTGAAAGCACTCGATGCTGCCACACCTTATCTGTAAGGGTCCTGCCCATTTGGCCTATTAAACGCTCGCCGCTCGTTGTTGTGTTAGTCCCATCTTAGTTGACTGAGGAGCGAGGAAAGCAAACAGTCGAAATATTCATTCGGGTGGATCAAATTTCATTTGCTTAAATGATCCAGGGGATTCTTCTGTAATGGAGACTTAGATTAAAAATGACTTTTCTTGTTTGATCAAAATAGCATTTGCGATTGTTCCGTCATCCGATTAAAACGACATAATATTAATTTAAATTATCCTATTATTTCCCTAGTGTTCTTGATCTATGCTTTTAAGGCTTGCTAGCAATCAGTTAAATCAAACGAAATCGCATAGTGTAAGGAAAGTTTGTGAACCCTTAGATAAGTAGTACTTTGAGCTCAAATTGATTCTTATGTCCATTTTACTCAGTCAAACATAGACGTACGCTTAAGTCTTATGGCTGAACTATGAAAAGCGCACTAATTTGACACACAACCACATTTTTTCTTCAAAATGACTGTAGTTTGTGAAAACATCTAATGTTATCTATTAATTCTACTATTAGTTAAGGTAACCAAGACGTCGAATTTGTTGAGTGTTGGAAGCACCGCCAAATGTCTTCAGGTTTTTAACTCTCCTAGTAAACACTGAAACTAATGAATGAAAATTTCAAGGTGTTTAAATAAAATCGTCCTGCTGCAGTTTTACAAATCCTTTAAATGTCTGATAGCTCCTAGGAGGCATTTATGTGACTTTGTACGTGCCAGCGAAATGTCAATGATGTCACAGACCATGAAGATATAAGTTTTACTGGAATCTAACCCTATATGGTGCCAAGGTAAGTATTTTGGTTACTCTGTTAACTACACATTCAGAAATTAACAAACGTGAATTAATGTTTATGAATTTGCTGGGTGGGGGCTAAGACCCAACACGGTGGACCTCAGAACAAATCAAATTCAATATTTTCCTTTTTTGTGTAACAGAATTAAGTTGCTTTAGTTAAGAGTAGAGCCAATCTAAGATTTTTAAGCACATACGTCAGCCAGGATTTTCTTCCTATAGTGAAACTCTCAGTCAAATTAGGAAGTTTGAATTGATGATACCTTATCTGACAGGCACGAACTACATTATGTTTAACTCATTTTCGGTTTATTAATGCATCAATTACTAGACAACTGACCTTGTCGTGGTATCTATGTGTTTACTAAAAATTCCACTAAAGTAAAAAGTGTACGTCAGGAGTGGAATCAATTCCTTTTTGGCAAAAACATCGACCGTAGTAACAGGAGGAAAGTTTCGCGAAATTTGCTAGACATAGCGTAGTAAAGAATAAAATTGCCACCGTTGCAGAGGAGTGTTAGTAGATCCATAAAATCACCCAGCTTCTCGTACACCATCACTTCGAAGCATCTGTCGTAAATGTTGAGTAAAAGCAGCATCACAGCCTGTTTAAATAGAAAAAAATAAAGCAGGAATGATGACACTCAAATAACCAAAAGTATTTAAAAATTGTATTGAATAGAAGCTTAATCAATTTGAGAAAGCCAAATACTGATAAAGTGTTGCAAAAAGTTCACTCCAACTTTACTACATAGTACAAATATCTGGGTCTGTGAAGTTTAGCCAGAAAAGTTCGCTAAGCCTCCAAACACCCTAAAGATCAATTCCTGATAACATTTACTATTGTTGCTTTTAATTTAAGGCCTCGTGTGGACAATCCTCTGTTGTCCAGATTAGATTAAAATAAAAACATTTTTCATGTGCCATAAAGTAAGTGTATACAAATTGACTTTAATTTGCCTACAAAAGGTACCGAAGCATCCAAGTATCCCTAATTTTTTCAGGAAATGCAGTATAGAAAAAAGTACTTGTTGTAAGACGAACGTAAAAAGTAGAATTCATATTCAGGAACACATTTCCTGGTGTAAATACGCCTTTTGCATTGGTAATTACTGACTGTAAACATTTAATGAATGCAGAAATTTTTTAACGAAAGTCTTAAGTAGAACCAGATCACAATGGATTTATACAATATTGAGCCGTATGTCTGATCATTTGGAAGACAAATGCCACAAAATCATTAAGAGGCTGTTTTTCTCTTGCCATCCAAATGAGAACACAACAAAAGACTAACTGTTGGGCTTAGACTGGTGTTCAAAGTAAAGTCAATGATGCTTAAAACAGGTGTGTATTCAATACAAAGAGAGCAAAATGTTGAACTATACATAGACAGGTATTTTGGAATGATTCCTACAAACTACCCAGGAAATTGTGTGAGATATTAATGGGTGCCTTACTTATTTATTCCCTCTCTAATGTCTATTTTCTGAAAGGCTAATCGATATAATCGGCAAAAAAATATTACATCAAAATTCATTCTCTTTGAACTGCGTCAGTGTGCATGCATATGCCTAATGTTTTATTTCAGAGCTGTTCATACTAATGAAAAATTAAGCTAATGTAAATCCTAGTGAAAAACCGAAGAAAAATGAGGGTTGAAGAATTTGTTTATAAAGGTGTCACCAAGACTATGATTTGCATCTTCATGGAAATTCGAAAAAATTATGAAAGCCTACGGGAGATTAAAAGCTTAATTTGCAACATTAAAATTTTCTAAAATTTACGTCGACATCTTGCGCTAAATAAGAACTGATTGAATTTGATAAAAGTTTGTTAATACCAACTTATACAAAATAATTGTTTATTTAAACATTTTTTTCTACATGTGATCGTTCCATTGCATTAATCTTCGTCAGAGACCTCTTGCCCACGCTTTTTTGTTGTTTTGCAAAGAAACCTTTTGCCTCAATATTTTATTTTAGATGTCCTACCAAGCGCTTTTGGTTGAGAAGGTATATGAGGAACGTGGCTTCCAGATGACATGCCACAGGCCCAGTTTGTGGACATCTTCTGAACTTGTTTGTCCTTAATTTAGCAAAACAACTTTGGATAATGCATCTTCCTTGCTGCGCTGAGC